ATTTTTTCTCTATTTGCTCACAACAACTTTGTCAGCTGCAGCGGCTGAGAAGTGTTTGTGTACATATGAAGGAGACCCCAGTGTAGCGAGGGAGGCTGGAGGATGCTGCACTGACAAGGAGACTGCAAGGCAAGAGAGGCTGGGCTGTTGGACCGAAACGGGATCTGATCATCCCCCCGGGGCGTTTGGTACGTACAGTGCAGGAACTGTAGGTTCGCTGTATTGTAAATATCCAGAGCCCCCCGTCGCTCTGCGACGTCTGGGCCACAGCCCCCAGCCTCTACTCCCGACCTCATGGTATTTCGTAATACCCACGCCTATAGAGGACAGATGTCCGTTTCTCTGTGACGCCTGTATTTCATCTTTAGCGGTTCTGCATGAGGGTGTCAGCGGCCGTTAGTCTCCGCGCTGCGCAGCGGCTACGGCACAGACGGACAAACACATGCGCCATGCGTCAACCAGACGGGACACGAAACAACATATGTTGTGCTCCTCCTTAAAAACAACTTGTTCTGTTCTGCTGCGACTCCCGAAGAGTTGTTTCCCCTTCTCTCACCCTGAGCAGCTGAAGTAACTTTCCCTCTCCGGTGATACCTCCAGGCTCTCCATGAGGCGACGCACCGGGTGATCACACTTTCCTGGGGATTTTGCTCTTTGTACAGCGGACACGATGTGGACACCGACGGAGGACGAGAAGATAGGAGTGGGTGAGTACCTCAGTGGTGTTTGTTCATTTGCTCATGTGCTGGATGTCCTGTGTGCAGAAGGACAGCTGATGTGGCACTGAACCCGGGGAGAGGATGTCGAGCTGCGCTTCAGTAGCCACAGTTGATTTTTCTAGTTTATTACAGTATCTTATCTAAATAGTGAACGTCAGATTGACTCAGCTGCTTCTGTGGTGGATGGTGATGTGGCCAGAAACCCTGCGGTGCCGGTGGGTCTGTGCAGCTCTGTGGCAGTTTGTGCAACATCCCATCAGATCAATCCGTTTCCCTTTGAGACGTGTCTGGCGCTTCAGGCTTGTCACTGACCTCATAGTAGTTTATGTTGTATGGTTTGACTGTGTTTATAGTGGTGGACACCTGTCATGTCTCAGCAGAGCTTTACACTGGTACATAGTGTTGGTAATGTAAGAGGTGGAAGGACGTTTCTCTTTAAATACACAGTGGATGTATAATGTAAAAGATATGCAAAGTGTATGAGAGTGGGCAAAGTGAAATGTGATGATGGGAAGGAGCAGTGTGTGTGTGTGTGTGTGTGTGTGTGTGTGTGTGGACAGTACAGAGCAGCAGTGATATACCAGCCTGTACTATATGACATTATAATGAGAGTGAATGTTTTTAGATGAGGCTGTGGCTCAGGGCCCATTAGTCGATGATACCCCCACCACCACCACCTTGTATCTATTCCTGCATTACTGCACTGAGTCCTTGGAGACAGACACTTCTTGTAGCATCATCTCTGCTTCATGCACTTTTCTATCCTCTTGTTTGTAGTGTGTTTACCTGTTGGCCCTCTGCTGAGTTGGCACATTTCCTCAAATGCCAGTTTGTTGCAGCTGCCGCACGTTTTCTCTCTATGTGTGTTTTGGTTTTGAAGCTTCAGAGCTGCCCTTCTTGTGCACACTGCTGTCTGCTGATACTGATTCCCAGGTTGATGCCATTACTCTCCTCTTCCTAAATTTAAAGTCAATATATGAGCCTGTGTAAAACTCACTGGGATCATTTGGTGACACGACGTCGGGTCTCCGGCAGCTTCATGGGTGAAACTGATTTTTGTGGGTATAGACTGCTCACATCCCATTCGTGGAGCCCGACTGGAGCATCCCCTGGAGATTGAGACTTTTTAACGAACCTTTGCAAACAGCCAGTTTTTGATTAATGAGACCTGTGGAGTTGAGGTCTGGTGTGAAAACAACCCTGACTTGTCCAGTGAAACTAAATTAGCATAAGGACTTTAAACAAGGTGCCCAGCGTCCCCGTTGATAGTCGGTGCCATCGACTGACGGCTGCCCGGCCCTCTCCCAGTGACAGATCAACTCCCCGGCGACATGCGCGGGGACTCTCCTGACAGGAAGTCAATATGCAGAATCATGACTGAGGCGCTCTGTTAATTGGAAGGAAACATTACCTGAATTTAAATGAGAGGCTGCTTGATGCCTTCATCAAAGTCCAGTTGTGACTTCTTGATTTGCTCTGAGCTGTGTTTTAGATAAAGAGGTACTTTGTAGATCCTGAGTCAAATACCAACAGTACCCAAAGTAAAGACAGGTATAAAAGTGTAAGAGTAAAATACAAAGTATTTAAAAACATATGAGAAATAAGTAAGTGTGCACGGGGTACCTGTGCACGATGCCAATATGTGTGAAGGTAAAAAGGGTAAACAGTGTGCCATGCAGTGGTATAGTGTCATAGTGAAGTTGGATCATAACATTATGAGCTGAGTAGTGACATCACATGTCCACATGTCCTCCTCACCAGAAGATGGTGACGAGTCGTATGGACCGAGGGACAAACGACTTCAGCAGTGTGTCTGTGGAGCAGGAGAGAAACAGCAGCCTGCTGCTGGATGAGCTCCTCTCCCTGGTGATGGCGCTGTGCACAGGGTGATGGACACTGTCCATGATGGACAGCTGACTGACTACGGATGTGAGGGAGTCCAGCTCCGTACCCGCTACAGAGCCAGGTGTCCTCACCAGCTTGTCCAGCCGTGAGGCGTCTCTCTTCTTTATGCTGCCTCCTCAGCACACTACAGCATAGCAAAGGACGCTGGCCATGACGGACTGGTAGAACATCTGTAGCAGCTTCTTGCTGATGTTGAAGGACCCCAGCCTCCTCAGGAAGTACAGCCGGCTCTGTCCCGTCCTGAACAGTGCATCTGTTTGTTGTCCTGTTGAAGACCCAGGTATCTGTAGGTCTGGACGACGGTGCTGCTGACCACTGTCTCTGAGCTGCAGTCCCTCACCCTTCATTTTGTTTTTATAACCATATAGTGTGTGAGATTTGAATCTGCCAAGCTGTTAAAACCCTCAGTGACAAACATCCGTCTGTAACAGCCCTGGGCCTTTGTCGACATTCATCCCACTGCTCTGTACTTTGTCTTCACAGTGACAGTAAATGGTCCTGGGCATATCGAAGCCCAGCACCGACTGAGCAGGCGCACACAACAGATAAACAAAAACAGGAAATCTTTAATCTCCCATTTAAAAAAAGGAGAATTCAGGTCCAGAACTCCTCAGAAACGCCGTCTTTGGAATCTGGAGAGTCACGTATCCCTTCAGCGGTTTTATGTAAGTGTGTTTTGTGCCTTTTGTTAGTCCGGCCATTTGTGTTTTTGCTGGATGAGGCTTTGCATACCAAGGCAGGGAGAATGGTAACTCATAGAGGCGCTCCAATGGAGCTGGGATGACTAGTGCCTGGTTGTGGAAAACAGCTATTCAGTTGGATGAATGCAGCTTTGTGGTGCTCATAGAGGCTCCTGAATGCAGCTTCGCCTCCCCCAGGGCTGCACAGCACAGCACTCAGTTCTCACACTCGCAGATAGCACAGCGCATGCACAGACATACAGACAGGTACGGGACAAACGGACACACATTGCAGACACGTTATTTATGAAATGCATCTGCTGAGCCACACCCACACTCATTGGTTTTCATTTAAATATGTAATGCAAGTTCAGACATCACCGTGTAACATTCAGAACTACAAGCAGACTGAAACGGCCCCTGTTCCCTGGCCTCCACGTCGACCAAATGTAATTAGTAGTCCGGGGGGGATCGGAGCAGAGCCGCTGCTCCATGGCGCCGGCAGGAGCCAGCTGAGGTTTTCAAGGCATCTGATCAGGATGCTTCCTGGGTGCCTTCCATTGGACGCCCTGTGGGTGTGTCCAACTGGGGGGAGGCCCTGGGGTAAACCCAGCATACACTGAGGAGAGTTTGTCATCTAGCCTGGAAACACCTCATCTGAAAAATGCTGCTGGGGAGAGGGAGGTCTGGAACCTGCTGACCTCAGATGAGCAGCAGTAAATAGATGGATGGATGTGACTTAGAGCAATTCAGACATTTTTGAGATATTGAAACAAACTCGGTGGGACTGAACACGTTCCTGTTGGTGGAGACGGCATCAGTGGGCCATCCCACACATGTATGTGCTAGTCAGGTTACGTCAGTGGCAGCTCCAACCCATGAATGGCACCGGCAGCCGTACAGCGATAAAACTAGGGCACTGAAGTGACAGATGTGTGCAGGCTGTCCCCTTCAGGGCGAGCGCTGCACCTTTGCTTTTCTTTGTCCTTATTGTTGGCGTCATATTTTTTCTTGTTTATCCTGCACCAGCTTTTCATTTTCACTCACCTGTCACTGTTGTGTCGTTGCAGCTCTGGTTTTCTTCTTGATCTCGGCTCCTCCCAAATGAAGCTGCGTCCTGCGGCGCATGTTTAAACACACTCTAATGACCTGTCCTCTGCTCCATTTGTTTCTCCTGTGTGATTTTTAACTGTAACCTTTTGACAAATTCCTGGAAAAAACCCAAAACACTTCTGCTTTCAGAAGCAAGAATTCAGCAGCTCTTAAGTAAAGTCCTCACATACTCCAGCAAGATTTGATGCTTTAGAAGAACATTGATAGACACCACTGGGAAATGTTGGATTTGTTCAGTATAAATCAGTTGTTGAATTCCTACAGGAAACGCTGCTGCTTTGAGCCAGTGATGCAGTTCCATCTTAAAAAGGGACCTGGCCCACATGTACAGTGTAATGATATGTCTTTTTCCTCAAAGACAGCAGAGACTTGCTTCAGTGTTTCAGCCTGAAGCTTTACTCAGAGCGGCGACGTCTCTGAGGAGTTGCACTCTGTCCTGCTGTCCTGCTGGCAGGTGATTAAGGAGAGAAGAATTGTCCTACATGCTGAAGCATCCTCATGGCGTATTGAAGCTGACAGCCTATCAGGTTGATTGTTTTGCCCCCACCCCTACAGGTGGTAGCTTGGCCTTCGAATCACACCTGAAAGCTAAGAGTTAACAAGCTCACATCACATGGACGTCTTTGCTAATTCTGTCTTTTTTCTCTCATGTTCCTTGGTGATGTGGGAAACAGGTAATCCTCCTTCCCCCCCCCCCCCTGCGTGCCCTGTGGAGAGCCTCAGCACATTTCATAGAAGCCGTTCAAACATGATTGTTCTGGCTCGGTGCTGTAATTTAGCCATTATAACGACATTACAGCTGTTAGACTGTTTTAGCCAGCACCAGGGCAGGGAGTCTCTCTGTTCATCTGTTCTGCTCGGCGCCCTCTGATCAAATTGACCGGTCCGTTTTCTAAACCACATATCCTGTTACGGTGTCACGGGGGGCTGAACAGCACTGGTGACCAGGGGACACCCTAGACTGCAAAGACACGGCTCTCATTTGAAATATATTTACGGACGTATCAGGAGTTGGTATAGTTCAAATGAGCTCGTTATGTGGACATGTGCACGTTGGCATGTTGTTTATATGCTCGGCCAAGATGAGCTGCGTGGCTTTGAGTCATGCAGTACCTTCTCTTCCTGCGAGAGGCTTTACTGACCCAGATTTGTAGCTTTAATCTCACAGCTTCTGGAAAATAAAAACTATTCTCAGAGGAGATGTTTACAAGCTGTGCATGACTGAACTGGTTCATGTATTATTGTCCATGTAGTTTCACCAGGAGCTGCATTTTGAGCACGTGCCCAGAA